AACTAGTTATTACAACATAACGATGACGCAGATATTTACCAGTAAATCTATCAAAGACTGAAAAGTCCTAAGGTGGAGAGCAATTTGTTTGAAAATTGCAAATCAACAAAAAACAACTAAAAACAAAACGCTACAGACTGCAAGGACAGTCTCTCTTGCCATATTAGGCTATTTAAATAACCACATTAACCAATCATCCAACATTAATAAGTCTATTTTAATCCTATTTGGAAAATATTGTTTAAAACTCTTCGTGAACGTACGCATTAACTGCATGTGTGTGTTTGTGTATTGTGATTAGAAACCAACTTACGGCGTTATGTTTTCCGTCTCATTTTATTATAGTATTGTATCCATTTTTTTTTGTTTTGTTTTGTTGTTTTACAACTTGTTGGGGAACAGATGGGAGTTAGCTTTTGGTGGCACAGCGCACCAAGAGCGCCAAGCAAATGGTGGCATTTATGTTTGAGTTGCACCTTCCTTTATTTAAATAAACCTCATTATCACAAAGCTGTGTAAGGCGGCTGGTGGTGCTGGATGCGAGTCTCACTCTTCAGCGGATCTTTTAGCCATTAATGATTCATTATGTGAAGACCACAGCGTCCCCGGGGAAGAGAACAACTATCGCCTCCACATGAGGCTCGGGGATAAAAGCCACTGCTACTGCAGCCCGTCCGCTGTTTTTTTTTTTTTTTTTTACGGGGACTCGTCGCCTCCGCAGGGCAGATGAGTCAGAGAACCTCCTGGTGTTCAGCACCGGGGAGCTGTCCGTGGTTTTGAATCCTCTTGACGCAAGACAACAGGCTTCTTGGGCGCCTAAGACCACATGAGAGTCATCTGAAGGGGGGGGGGGGGGGGGGGAGGGGGGAAGGATTAGACTTAACTGAAGACAAGGAAATAACTTTTACCACTTTGTCACTTTGTCTCTCGTCGGGATGCTTCCTGCTCAAGAAGCGGCCAAGATCTACCACACCAACTACGTGCGCAACGCCCGGGCCATGGGCGTCATGTGGCAGGTGTTCACCGTCACCTTCGCGGTCATCATGGTGGTGGTGTTCATCCAGCCCTACTGGATCGGGGACAGCGTGAACACGCCGCAGGCCGGCTACTTCGGCCTGTTTCACTACTGCATCGGGAACGCGCTCACCTCGGAGCTCACCTGCAAAGGGAGCGCGCTGGACTTCGGCTCCATCCCGTCCGGGGCCTTCAAGACGGCCATGTTCTTCGTGGGGATCTCCATGCTGCTGATCGTGGGAAGCATCGTCTGCTTCAGTCTCTTCTTCTTCTGCAACGCCGGGAGCGTCTACAAGATCTGCGCCTGGACGCAGCTGGCCTCCAGTGAGAGTTGGATCAGAGTTTGTCTGCTGCAGATTTACTCTTGACACGATAAACAGATGGAGGATGTGTAATTAGAGCTAGGCGGGTGGATTCAACACACAAAGCTAGTTAAATAACCCTAATTTCTTAAGGTGGAGGTATCAAATTGTTGCCTTCTTCTTTGTGGAGCAACGTTTTTGCTGTAATTGCAGCTGCACTTTTGTCTGGGTTTGTCTTTGCGCATCCAGAAAGTGATTTTTTTTTTTTTGTTACTATGAAAGTATCATTTTTGATCGTGCAGTTTCTGCTAAATAAGTCGCTGTCATTATGAAAACATGCACCACTCAGCTAGATTTGATGGAGAACATAAAATAACAGCAATAACTTTTTTTTTCTCCTTTACATTAAACATCGTAGTGAACTGCTCCCTGCAATTTAATGTGCGTTCAACTTGCTTAACAAAGCCAGAAATCGCATTAAAAGTATTAACGAAATTGTGGGAAATCAATCAATAGCGCAGAGAACGTAACTTGGAGCAAAGCTCATTCTATTCAGTGCTGCAAAAGTTTGGCAAACCTCGACAAACGTGTGAAAGACTGCGAGGCACGGTTCAGCCTCTCTCCTTCAGAAACACTTTAAGAGGCAGGAGAGAAACATGAGCGCGGCTTGGAAACACGATGCAGCTTGTGAACAGACGTACCTGCGAGTGAAAGGGCGAGCCTGTAATGAAACAAGTAATGAGATGCAAAACCGGAGGTGTGCTGTTACACACTTTACTCTCACTTTTCATGGACATCATGCTGTCCATGATGCGTCTGTGCATTACGAAGATGTGTTTGGTCAGTTTGAGACTATTTAAAGTTTTCTTTAAGGAGAAAAAAAATAGCATTAATGGAGCAACATTAAAGTTACTGTTAGCACAGATGTTAAGTGTTTTTTTTCCAGTAAGTAGCGCCTTCTTTTGTTGTTGAATTCAACGGAGTTGGGAGTGTTGAGGAACTTTGAATGTTTAAACATTTCTAAATTATTCACTGACTGACCTATAACAAAACTTCTGATTTAACAAGTAATGTTTTTATGGTAAAATGTTCTCAATTAAAACCGTTTTGTTGTTTAGAGGAAACACAGTCAGCCGGGCCCTTTCTGTGATCATTTGTAGGAAGTTAAGATCTGAGACGTGAGAGAGTCGTGTTTCACTTCACGTTAAAGTGAGATTGTACAAACCTGGCTGCGGAGTTAATAATAAATAGCTTCGTCTTTCTGTGCTACAAAGTTGCTAAGCAACTTAATATTGAGGGGGTGTGTGGAAGTTTTATTTCTCTGGTGAATACACTGTTTGTTTTTTGCTTTATTAGTAGTTGCTTTTTATTTTATCAGAAGGAAATGGTTTGCATTCTCAACATGTGGAACATAATTTTGAATTTTTTTTTTTTTAGTCTTGCCACAAAATTCAAAAATAGTGCCTCTTTCTGTTGGTTGATCGTGTAGCTAATCCAAGTTAAAGCTTTGCAGTGTGTGTGGTGGCAACATGACAAGCTGAAAACCTCATCGCACATGAATCCTCCTGCAAGTTAGAAGGCTTTTCGACACACCTCGCCACTTTTCGTGTCTCCCACCTGTCCAGGTACGTGCATGGTGATCGGCTGCATGATCTACCCCGACGGCTGGGACTCGGAGGAAGTGAAGCGCATGTGTGGCCAGCGGACTGACAAATACACCCTGGGTAACTGCACGGTGCGCTGGGCCTACATCCTGGCCATCATCAGCATCATGGACTCGCTCATCCTGTCCTTTCTGGCCTTCAGCCTGGGCAGCCGGCAGGACAAGCTGCTGCCCGAGGACTTCCAGGTTGAAGGGAAGGGTAAGAAAGATAAAGTAGTGGTGGGAGAATGCTGAGAAAAGAGGAGTAGGGATTTTAGCACTCATGAAGGGGTAGGAAGTAGATGGACAGAGCCCAGGGAGGAATGACTTGAAATGGTTTAGATGGTTGCAAAATACTTTTACCTTTTGCACTGAAAAAAAAAAAAAGACAGACACAGAGATGAAATTGGTATATGTAGGCAGTGCAAATTGCTCTTGAGCTATCGAACGGATTAATGCAGTAAGGATGCACAGGGTTTTATTTACTATATGCTTTGCCAACTATAAATACTCATATTTATTTATTCTGACTCATAGATTAAACATCTGATCTGACCAATTTTTTTTTTTTTTGTCTCTTGACAGATAACGCATAGATCTGTGGTGAACACAAAGAGGAGATGCAACCAACTCAACACTGAAATAAACTCCCAAAGAGTTTACCGGCGGCCTCGGCGAAAAACCTTCATGTCCTTCCAGAAACGACTCCAACAAAGCGAAGGTTTTCCACTGACCTCTGGCTTCACTATAGACCTGCTGTAGCTTTGTGGACTTCTACCAAGAAGTTTTACTTTCGATTGAAAATTAGGTCAAAACCTCTCAAAAGTTTAACCGGACAGCGCAATCAACTATCCACTATAAATATTTAATGACATTAAATTGATCAATGTCATATTTTTGGGGGCGATTTCACTGATGTATTGAGGATTTCTCTTTGAAGACGAAAGACCTGCTTGTTGTCGGTCGAAAGCTTTAGCTTTCCACAGATTAGAAAAAAAACCCATTAAAAATAAAATCAGATCCTAGTCACAAACACAATTTGTGTTTACGAGAAACACAAATTCCCCAAGATTTCTAAGCGTTTCTTCTGGTCAGAAGAAAGATTTTGGTAAAATAAAGTTAAACCTAAATCCCAAAAGATTTTGAATTATTTTGGGCTTAATTGAATTTCTAATTACAATAATATGTATTTAACTTTCCAACCTTTTATATGATTAGGACTTGTTTTATTGGCAGAGTGCAGAAGTCTGCACAGTTTCTGAATTTGTTCACATTTTGTCTTGCGTCAGCCACAAGGAGGAGCTGTACAGATCCACAGCTCAGGTGGGGAAAAATTATTAGCAGGAAAAAGTTTTAGGTGTCCAAAGCTGGTAGAGATGCAATATTTCACAGCATAAATGCACACCAAAATAATCTGAGTGCTATTTGTAAAAACTTAGGGAAATGTCTTTCAACATTATGTTATTCTACTACTACTCTTTGTTGGGCTATCACATTAAATACTACAGAATACACTCACGTTTGTTGTGAGTGCACTGAATTTTGTTTTTGTTGCAAGGAGTTACTAAAAACCTTCAGCTTACAAGGCAAACTAATTTGGAAAAGTGTTTATTCTTATATTCTACAGGAAGAAATAAAGACGGAAGACATGGACGTAAGAAACTTGCATCATTAAACATGTGACAGCTGTGAAGAAAGTCAAAGCAATAAAATAACATCTGCAATTAGTACAATCTTTTGTTAAACCAGCACATTCATGGGGAGGGAGGGGGTGGAAGTCTTGCACAGTAGAAGCTAAATTTATTGCCTGATCACAGAGAATGAAAACGTTTTTAAGCCCTTCAGATAAAGTCTCCTTTGCTACTCAGTGTCTTGTTCAGAACCTGCGTCAAGCCAAACTCTTTGGTACAATGTACTGAACGCCGGTTGCTTATCCATTTGTGGCTGGATTCCAAGTATACCAGCGTTTAAAAACCATCTGCAGAGATGTCCATCCAGAAGTAAAAAAATCTAAATAAAAATCAGTTTCACACTCAAACTCTGAGAAAATGCAAAGTATTGCAGAACCTTGACAATACCTCAAGGAGGGGGGGAAAAAAGCCTGGTTGTCAGTGTATTTTTGGATAACTGTCATTGATGCACACTGTGTTAAATGTCTCACTCTGTGGAGGTGTTTGTGTAAAAACTTACAAAAAACCCCCACAAAAAAGCCATTTTTTTCTTCCTTTTGTTGTTGGTGGTGATGATAAATCTTAAGACTGTCCTTGAAAATGACTGGTTACTTTTTAATCTGATAAGCACTGTGCAGGGACAAACTGAACAAAGTCTCAGGCCAAAAGGTGTAAAAGCTGGGCGCATGATGACTGGCAAAGATTTGGCTCAACTATACGACACCCACTGAATTACCGTTTCACAAAGCTTCTTTCGCTTCCGTTTGTGTCAGAAAAGTGCAAATTTCAGTTCTTGAAGAGAAAAAGAATGTGCACCAGCGATACACCTGCACTCAGAAACAAAAAAAAAGAAAAAAAAAAAGAAAAATGCCAATTGCGAAAGAGTTCACTAAGTACGAGTGAAGGGCGTTACTGAACGTTTTCCAATTAGCGAACAAGCCTCGACTGCTTTCCTCTCCGTCGTTTGGATGTGCTGGCAACCATGAGGGTCCTGCTCGCAGACATGAATGAATTTGCTGGCCGGGTTCTTTCACGACATATAAAAATGGCGGCGGTGCGCAGGTTTTAGGAGGAGAGCCATGGATGGGAGAGGCACTGGGCCGCCGTGGCCCTCCGTTCAGGCACCAGGTCCAGCATGGGCAGCAGGAAGCTGCTGAAAGAGTGGGCCTCCTCCTTGGACCACTCGTACTTCTCCACCAGGACGTCGAACAGCCCCCACGGCTTCAGCTTGGTGATGTGTCGCAGGTCGCCTGGGAGAAACACGTTTCACAAGATTCAATCTCGGCGGACCTTCACAGAGCTGAGCCTCATTTAGTTTTTTGCAGGTTCTGTCCTGAGCGGAGCAGATGGCTGCTCCCCTTCGAGGCGTCACATGCTTAGCCTGAAATAGCATCTCCTCTCACAAATACCTGAGGATGTTTCAAAGTTGAAAGAGGAAGCGGCTCTTCAAAAGACAGCTGGCGGGTGCGTTTACCTTTCTTGGTGAAAAACTCCTTGGAGTATTTGCCCGCCACGATCAGCTTCCGAGGAACCTTGCCAAGCAGCTCAATGATGAGTGCTATGTGATCTGCAGGGAGCGGAGATGCAGAAACGTACGGTGAGTACAGGTGACAAGAATCATCACAATATGAAGATCCACAAAAAGCAATTCCAACCCTTCAACTTTTTTTTTTTTTCCCCACATTTTCCGACAATCGCAAACTTAAATGTATTTTAAAGGATTTTTTTTTTTTTTTAAGCGATCAACACAAAATGGACAAACTGAAAGAAAAAGAAACAAAAGAACAAAACATGGTTTCAAACAGAAAAAGATGCCATAGATACAGAACCATAACAACAAGAAGAGAAACCCAATTGGATTAGTCAGGATTGTTATTTGGTGGGGGGAGAAAAAATATAGGACATTTTAACCAGTCCTGACTGAAAAAGGTTAAATTTGATACACGAATATAATTTAACATAACCTTCATTCACACAACACAAGTCACAAGTCATAGATCCATAAGAGATCTATGGATGTTATTGGTGGTGTCGAAGTAAAAGGGGGCTGCTGCAAATTAAATTTGTGTCTTTACATTTCAGATTTTTGCTACAAGTACGAAAAACAAACATCTTGATTTCCTTTTACAATCACTCACTCTCTCACACACACACACACACACACACGCACACACGCACACGCACACACGCACGCATATGTCAATCACATAAAGCTCTGATAAAACACACTGAAGTTCAATGTTGCAAATAAAAGCTAAAAGGGTATAAATAATTTTTGCAAAGGACTTTATGCAGAAAAGAAAGAACTGAATCTCAGAGAATAAATACATCTTCACTTTAATGTTTCCGTGTAGACGGAAACAGTTTTAGGGTTTTCATATATTTCAGAGCCCAAATTGAATCCAGTTCTGACACTCAAGCCAGGCGGCCATTTGTAAAGGAAGTCCTGTTTTCTGAACCAACCTTCATCTCTGGAGTAGTCCTCTCCAGAGTGCGGTTCAAACAGATAATCTCCAGTGGCAAGCTCGAAGGCCTGACGAAAACAAAACACACATCCAGAATTAAGGAGGGTTTAATTACAGCTATGCCAGTCAAGACTTTATTCCATTTTGGTTTCTGTGTTTCTGACTCTGGAAACTTTACATACCAGAAAGTTTCCCGCTAAAAGACGACGCCTAATTATTACACTCAACATTGAAACAGTTGCAGACATGTATATGTAGCTACAATTATGAATGGATGAATAAAATCCCATAAAAAAATAATTCTTTTTACAAAAATAATTTACGCCTCTAATATTTCCAATGGAATCAACGGAACCAAAGCAATTATTGTAATACTCGACTATTTTAAGTCAATATGTTCAGAAATCACAAATTAACGCATTACTTCCTGTTCGTCTAGGTTCAAATATATAAACAATAAAGGTCAATGCTGGAGAATTTTCTTTAAAGGCTTTTCCCTTTAAAGTTACACCAGCCTCTCTCTACTGACAGGTTGCTGTAACTTTAACAGAACGTATCCAGCGTTCATTGCACTGCCTATGCAGCGGTCCTGTGTTTGTGTTTTACCATGCAGGCGGTGCTCCAGATGTCTGCTGGAGTGCTGTAGCCAGCTCCGATCAGAACCTCCAGCGAACGGTATTGCCGTGTCTGGATGTCGTCTGTAAAATGCTTGTGCTGCAAAAACAAACGCTGAGATCTCAGTAAAATTCACAGATCCCAAAATGAACAGATGAGCTACAAAAAAAAAAAAAAAAAAAAAAAAACCTCAAAACGCTTATTATCAACAGAAAGCATGTTGAGGTATATATATATATATAAAAAAAAGGCTCGATTTCTGATAAATTACACGATCAAGACTGACCAGTAGAAGGCCCGTCTATTAACACCTACAAGAAGCCGACTTGTTGCTGATGGATGCATATTTTTACTCACCACCCAGCAGGCATTGCCAAGGTCAGCGATCTTGACCTGCAGCTTGTCGGCGTTAAGAGGATCCAGGGGGTTTACCAACAAACTGCCTGCTGAGCCTGGCACAGAGCGGAGTCAGAAATAAAGACAAAAACAGATGAGAGACTGACACCGAGTCCTCTCCAACATCACAGATTACAAAAAAAAAAAAAAAAACACACGTCCAGGAATTTTACAGACCGGAACTCGGAGGAAGCTTTTGCTGCCAAGTGTTTGCAGTTTGCAGTGGGCGTTCATTAGAAAGTTGATGTTACAGTGGAGGATTTGATTTAATGTGTGAAGACTAGAAAATAACACATGCATAATGCAGCAGTCTGACTGGATTCAACCCACGCAGTTTAGAACGTCAGCAAGCCGTTTCTGACCACAGCGAAATGTAGCTTAATCTGCATAGAGTCGCACATTAAACTACAATCTGGTTTACATCTGCATTAATTATGTGATGTAGTTTTGTTTTGTCTTTAAAGACAATAATAATACAGCATATTCATTTGACATTTTCCTCATATTCATGTAATTTATCCCAGTCTTGTAGTTTTCAACAGATAAGGGAGTGTACTCGAGACTTTCAATATAAACGGTGAATATTTTTCTAATAAAATTCAGCTGTTTCTGTGGAGAAACGGCAAGAGCACGACGGATTTTGTCGAATCTTGAAAGTGTAGTGAAGTAGGCTAAAATATCTGTTCTTCAACTAACCACTCTGGCCGTCCTCTTCCTCACACTCCTTTTTGTTCTCCCCTTGCGTCTCCATGTCCTCCATCTTTTTCTCCCGTCTCTCTCTGTTGTTTGGCTCCACGGCGACATCGGAGCCGAGGGAAGCGGGGAGAGGCTCCGAGGCGGGATCGGCCTCTGCCGGCGAGGCGTCAGAGGTTTCGTGCTCCTCTTTGTTACATATAGAGTCTGGAGTCTCTGCAGTGCTTTCTGGTTGGTTCGCGTTCTGTTGGTCCTCCTGCTCCTCCGCAGACTCCTTGGTCCCTTGTTTTTCTGAACTGTCCTTGTTCTCCGGCGAGGAGGAATGGCCGTTGCAGTTGATCTCCATTCGGTTCTCCTCCTCCGCTGCGCCCGCTTTCTGATGACCTAGCTCAGGCGTCGGAGGAGGCTGCTCGTCGGGAGTGGAGTCTGCCGCAAAAAAAAAAAAAGGGGTTATTTCATTTAATAAAGACTTTTAATAACACAGTTCTTCATCCAGAACCCCTGTGATGAAACTAATTACTGGACTGCAAAGGACTTGACAATGGTGTCAAAGTTCATGTGGCTTTACATACAGGCAGAACTACAATGGTGTGGTTAAAATGATCTAGTCAAAGTCCAGAAATTTGGGGATTGATGTTCACAGACACTCTGATTCAAAATAACTTGTATGAAAAAAAGGTAAACAGACTTACTTCAAAAAACCTGCAGGTACAGAGAAAAGCTTTGCATTTGGAAAACATTTTTAAATACGCTACATCATTTTCTTAGCACTGCTTTGAGCTGAGCTGAACTTTCCAAGAAAAGCCTAAAAAACTTCTGACTTTACAAAACGTGAAAAAGGTCAGCGCATACAGCTGGAGTTTTTGTCATCCTCAAACATTTTTTTCTCCATATTCAAAAATTTAGGGGCATCTGTTCAGTCAAAATGAAGATTCAGATGAGGTCATAGTGACACTGTACACATTTCAGCTGTCACCATGGGGAATTAACAGGAGCTCATCCTTCAGGCAGGTGAAGATTTAGTTTTCACCAAACAAGAGAGAGGTTGTTTGCTCTTCATTCTCATTGCAACAGTGGATGGAAAGATGCTTAGAGTCTGAAATTACAAATATTTTCCACACTTTTCCCACAGGATGAAATGATGAAGATGGGATGGGGAATACTCGGAAAGTGCAAATATTCAACCATTTATTACTTTTTCCCCCAACTCTTAGTTAAATCTTGTAATTCACTCAGCACCCATATCACAT